TAGACTTTTTAAAAATTAAAACTTAATTTCTAAAAAACTGGGACCCTAAACTAAAATTATGGCTTCGACATTCCCTGGTTCTCAAAATTATCTTTCTTTCAACACAAAAATCATGAAAATCCGTCGAGTGGTTGATTCAGAATCGTGAAATAAAAAAACACTGTTTCGTTTTAATATTATAGAAGATAGATTTCCCCAACTTTAAAACATTTCAATAAAATATAACGAAGTTTCATCGAAATTAGTTGCGAGTATTTACCCAAACAGTGAAGTTTCTTGACAAGTAATTAATTTATCGCATGTTTTAACCTCTGAAATCTTAATTTGTATTTTCAAGAGATTAAAGGAATAGTGGATCAAGTAATGTGCTCTACGCATTTGTACATTTTCTTCTTCTTCTCCCAACTGTTACACCACAATCCATCATAGAGTACAACTTTTATTCCCAAAGGTCGTGTTACGGAGGCCTGGGGCGCGAGATGATGTTCGGAATGCACTCAAAGATTTATGGGGACCACCAACGCCCGCCCTTAATTGACAAGGGCCCCTACAAATAATCTTCACGCCTACCCCTCGGCTTGTATTTGTTTTATAGCCCCTCAGCTGACTTCTGTTTGTACTTGCAACTCTTGTTGGGCTCAAATTATAACTCTTTTCCTGTCGATCAATCATAATGGCTAGAAGGGTCAAAATGTGTGGACTGAAAAGTGGAAACGGACTATCAGGAATATATTTTATTTTTTATGTCGGTTAGGGGCTATGTTATATTTAAGTTAGGAAAAAATGATCTACTATTTTATGTTTTGGGTTTTTTTTTCTCATGAGAGAAATTAATTTTTAAACGAAATCCCCTAAAAACAAGATGGTTAGTTAAATTACATGGAAAATATATTAGGTATTTCCTCATTTTGTGTTTCTAGAAAACTTTCTCCTTTCAACATGGTATCCAATATTTTTATCTATCAATGAAACAGATAATTGTCACAAAATTAAATTTTAAGAGCTAGAACGCAAAGTTGGCTGTCACTTTCGATACATCGGTGAAATCCACAAGTTGGATAGCGGAGGGTGCTAGTATAATAGTACCTATGTTTTCTGTGGTTTCAATGAAAATACCTACATTCAAACAGTTATTATTTTCAACGAAAGCAGTTAAAATTCAATCTTTTTAGCGAATTTCCCCTATAGGGAATAAGCTATTACCGTAGTACTCATGGTGAGACCTGGACCCGGGACCGATTTATTTTTTCGTTTTGAGGTCCCTAGAGGCCAAAAACACCATCCAATCAAATTCATATATATATATATATATATATATATATATATATATATATATATATTTATATATGTGTCCGTTAGCGCGATAACTTGAGCAAAAATGATCCGATTTTGATGAAATTTGGTACAAACGTGTAAACCTATGTTTATTCGAACGAGTTCGCGAACCAGCATGATCGGACTATGGGAACAGGGGTTTATGGGGGGTTTTATGGGGTAAAAATAGGTTTTTCCCATTTTTGACCCTAAAAACTTAAAATTTAGCAATTTCTTTTCAAACTATTTTGTAGAGCTTAAAAAAACAAATAATTTAGTATATTAAAGCGTTACTATGCGCCTAATGGTTACGGAGAAAATTCCAAAAATCTGTAATTTTAAAATACCCATGTTATTCTTATGGAGAATAAGTTAACTGTTGTAGTTTGCTTGTTTATGAACATATTTTGATCAAATTTGGAAAATGCATTCATTTCATACTAAACTATTAACATTTTACAAAAAAACACATTATTACCCTCCCTGTTGCAGCAAACCTAAGTACTCAAACTAATGTTATTTAAATAGGGAATAAATGTGATATTTTTAAGGAGACAGTTTAGTGTAAATCCAATCAGGCGAATGGAAATTCGCTTAGTATGCAGGTTTGCTGCGGCGGGGGTATTTTTTTTAAATGAAATGAAAAATGAAATGAAATGAAATGAAAAATCATTTATTTATACAGGCTTTCATCTTAACACAGGCATAATCTTTGACCGATATGGGCAAATATCATATTGCAATATACTTAAATGTTAGTAATTCATTCATCCATAGTTCTACGTTTGGACTTGAAATATTACAGTACAGAATAGTTGAGAAATGACCAGTAGGAGTGATTTAATGTTGTTTTAACCGAGCTCCATTATACTTAAGAAAATTTCACCAATAAATAAACATTAAAATTTGGATACAAGAGACTGTCTTTTGTTGTGTCAAATAGCAAAATTCTCAGTAAAATGATAAAAGATAACTACAAGTTCGAAACTGTTTGATAAAACAATTTCACACTTATTGATAGTTGAATAACTGTATTTTTTTTACATAATTAGTATGCACTCTATCTACAGGTTTTAAAATGTCTATACCAAGCTAAAATGAACATTGCAGACAAATTATTCCACCATGAACCACCTTCATAGGAATTTAATGAATGATCTGGTAAAATCATCAAAATATAAAAAAAACTAATTAGCTTAGAAACTCAATAGATGGTCATGGTGGAAGGAAAATACATAGGTGTGCTAATTCCCGTTAAATGCTGACGTCACCCAGATTGCAAACCAAAATTCTGCTGATTGTATTGCCATAAAAGTATATATTTGTTTTGATTTGATTTTTATTGTTTTTATAATTTTTCTAAATGGTAAAATGGTGTTTGCAATCTGAGTGACGTCAGCATATGACGGGAATAGCACAACTATGTATTTTCCTTCCACCATGATAGATGTTTACATTTATAAGTCTGAAAAAAAATTTAATAGCACGTCCAACCTTACTAAATTATATGAAAAAATGCACAAATCCCAGGACCTCCTAACAGCTGATTATTTCCCGGTATAAAACTGTTGACGGTTGGCACCACGTGGTGATCATTACAGTGACAACGTAACACCTTGTGGTGTGTTGGTGTTGGTAGCACTGATTTACTACGCTGCACTGACAGACAGACAGACAGACACACGATATACGACCACCATTGGTGGTACAGACTAGCACGCCACAGTCACAAGGGGGAGGTCACACGTCACTTGCAAGGATTAACACTCGGATCTCACTTCCAAACTTTCAAGAAATGTTTGAATTGGGAGGAGTTTAAGATCAAGGAGTTGTTTGAGGGGGAGGGCTGATTGTGTTGGAAAGTTCTGTGTAAGATGCAAAGATCTGATAGTGACGATTTACAAAAAATATTACTATGTAGTTTTTAAACCAAAAGACGTAAGAATTGAGTGAGAACGAAATGTGGCTGTAATTTTCAAAGGAACTAAAACCGTCAGTAAATCACCAATTGTTTGTTAGTTTCATTTGAATGTTTATTATTTTTAAGTTTACCTATGTGTTTATTTGTTAGCAAAGTTGTAAGCGAATTGGTATTTTCATGGTTTTAAAAATTATTTTTTCAACTTTTTTTATTTTACATTTTTTTAAATTATTTATTAACGCCATATTTGTGCTCATTTTGTGTGGATAGTAGTGATATTCACGAACACAACATGACTGTTTTTTCTCAATATTTATCATATGGAGGCTTCATTGAAAAATAGTATCAAAATCCTCATTTTATCGTAAAAAATTCTTAAAAAACTTCTCAATCCAAATTAGTGGTGGTCAAGAGTTAATACCCTATTTAACGTATATAAAAAGTATGGAGGAAGACTCATTTACTACTTACTTATGTTTTATATAATTATGTATAAATATATATTCCTTGTTTACACATAAGTTACTAGTACTCCACAGAGTACACTGAAGACAGCAATGTTGCCAACAAGCAAAGTGTAAAAGCCCCCAACCAATCAACAATGTCCTTTGATCATATGGGAATGCCAGGTCAATTATTGACTCCCGAAATACCGTGTTGGTGGCAACACTGAGTGGTAATTATCCAGCCACATCAGTCGACACATTTATTTGTGGCGTAATGTTGCACGACTGGGGCTAATGCGTGCCACCATTAGGCTCACATCAAGTATTCTATAATCTGCCGTTGGGCGACACTAACATACCTCTCTCTCGCTCTCTCTCACTTCTACATTGATTTAAACACTCTTTTAAACTGCCAAACGAGCTGCGCGAGCTTTCTAGTAATTAAATTACGGCACAGTTACTAGGTGGAGTCATATTCAATGGCTGTGTAAAACTTCCATTTGCAAGTGTAGAAGTGAGGAAAATTAACATATTTTTAATTTTTTAATATGTTAATAAATTAAAATGTTCGTTTCATAATAGACTAATAAGCAAGCTAAAAGCTTCGTGCCATCTACAGTTCTCGATCGGCAATGACGTACTTTGCGCTCTTAATACACACATAGCTATTCCCTTGCTCTCAATCAGTTCTCTATTATTTTCCCACTTCGTACGCTAGTGTTGTTAACATATATTTTTATAATTTAAATCAGCTGTTTTACTGTTCAACAATGAAAATGTAATAGACATAGCTAGTGTTGCTGTGTTTCAGCATAGTGCGTATTGACTGCAAAATAAACATAACCTTAAACGTATAATTATATATTGTTAGCAACTTTTTGCTTAAACACATCTGCTTCATTTCCATATTTGAAAATATTAATTAGGATTTGGATACTATAGTAGACATCCCATCTATATAGACCAGCTTTTTTTTATTAAAAAACATAGTTGTGTGAGCAATTCACAGATTGCCCTAGTTTAAGAAATTATTTTTGTCTCCTTATTTGTTGTTGCTAACATATTTGATGGGTCATAATAGTTGCTATAGCTCACTATAAGTCTTGCCAATATTTTGGCTTGGCTATAAAGATCATGTATTTAACATAAATCAGCAATTTATATCAGCACAATCTGTCGGTGGCTCACATCAACTACGATGATTTTGATGAAAAAACTGGTGACAACTTTGACATGGTGATGAAATGTCTAGTTGTACGAATAGTCAAAGGTAATTAATAGTTTTCACTTTACTCATGTATTTTTTAAAGGACACTGACCAGCTGGTTCTGGTAGGCTGTGACGGCGGTGAAGACAGACTCCGGGTAGACGAAGGTCTTGAACTCCTCAGTGTCCAGGTCTGTGATGGCAGCGGTGACACTCCCCTCGTGTCTCTTGACGAGGTGGATTCGAGGTTGGTACTTGTGCATGGAGTTGAGCACCAGCTGTGGACAGAGGACGAGAGTGTTCAACAAGTAGTGGAGGTAAGTAGTGTGGAGCGAGCTGGTCTAGTGGTTAGAGCACAGGACTTCGGTCCAAGAGGTCCCGGGTTCAAATACCGACAAATCACCACTGGATTTTATTTAAGTGATAATGCCACAACCCCTAAATCTAGCCTGAAGTAATGTGAAAAACAATCCCAGGTTCGTGCCTAGCGCAACGATGTAAAGCTAGCGTCCTAGGAGGAAAAAAATACCAAAAATCATCCACAGAAAGAGTGAACCAAAGGGGATTGTCCATATTGCTATAAACCTAGAGGGACTTAAAATTGAAATCGCAAACGGTATCCGTTAGATAAATTCAGTAATTTAATCTTTCTTAAGCGATGGAGTGACAGATTCATTTTAATTTTTTTTATTCAAAGATACATAACACTCCTGTTGTATATCTCACGAAATTATTATTTATATTAAACTGTTGTAGATCATATCAGTTTTGTATTGTAAGGCCCGGTTTATTGTAATAAACGTAACAGTTTATGCTGTTTAAAGGTTTCTTGGGTAAATTTTCCATCACAATAGTAAAATACAATACACATCGTTACCAGTTTGTGATTAAAATTATAACTTTGAAATAGTATTGTAAGATTCAAGAAAAATTTGTACAATTTCATGGTCTGCAGTTTTAGTCATATTCCCATCATCCTATGAGTTATCAAATACACTACAAACAGTAGAGTAAATAGCCCTTTCAGTCTTAGTGTAATTCAATTTTTGTTTCTAAATCACTATACAAACATATTATCAAATTCAAAAACCAAAATTCCTTTCATAAATTTAGTTTCTGAATAGGGTACCCCCGGTGTGTAGGACAAGGCGTTATATTATTAGAAATAGTAGAACAATACACAAAAAAAATAAAATGATAAAAACAATCATAATCATACAATTAACTAAATTCAGTATACATGTATGTATACAGTATACAGTAAATGTTGTATGTAGCAACAATTTTACACTTAGTGGTAAGCGATGAAAGATACTGACAAAAATCGAGGTAATCAAAAGAAATAACATTTTGTTGCTTGACTGTATAAATCGTCAATTCCAAGTGCGTTATACATCTAGTTTAGACAGAACATTTTAATAAAATTACTTTAATACGGTACAGGAATTGTACAGTTGACATATCTCTTTTCTAAAAATACAACTTCACACTATATATTAATAGCCAATCATGTTTCTTGAAAACCTTTTTTCAGCTCGTGTGCATCACAGTGAAAATCTACGCATGTTAGAAACATATTTTTTTGTAGATGTAGAGAATCGCTTTATAAATTAAAATATGCTAAAAAATAAGCACAACAAATGCATTTAAAATTTTGAAAAACATAGGCCTTATGGGTTGCCATGCTGGTGACGAAATAACAACGAAATATAAACAGAAAATTAACACACATGGAAGAAATTCCAATCACATGTTTTATTTACAGTGTGGGGTAAAAATGGAGAAGTCTGTACATTACATATTTTTTATCAAGTATTCGACCACTAGACAACCTAGACAACCTCAAGTTCTAATTATTGTACATTTAATCAATATATTCCGGTAACAATTAGAATTGCGTTATAAAACCTATAAGTCATAAATCGCGGATTTTCCAACATGTTCGCCGAGCGTTTGTAAACACCGAATCGAAGAAAGAACGACGGGCATAATCGTAAAACTTGACGAGGCCGATTGCATAAAGACGGACGATGCGCTTCTGAATCAGATGTCTGAAAATGTCGGCCGGCAAACATTTATTGATATCAGTAAAACGAGTAGATTCACATCAAGTCGTAGCTTACCCGCCGCATTGCATTGGCCCCGCCATACATATGGAGGGCCCGTAAAATTTTATGCCCTGTGGGGACGATTGGGAGTTGCCGTATTTTGACTTGAGTTACGATTCACCTTAGGGTTTCCGGATGCATTTTGGATATCTACATGTGGTCCGATATTTGAAAAACGACTGGGGTGAAAACCATAACTCCATATAAGCGAATTTGTTTGCGGCATAAATATTTCGGAGGATCGAAGCTTGACTATACGATATGGGGTTTTAATTGGTGATGTATTCTGCCAAAGTACTGCAGTAGGTACTACTTTTAGGTGTTAAGAGTCTTTCCTGAAGCTAACAAAATAGTTTTGCAGGAATAGTTGTAAAACTGGTAGTTTAAATTGGTAAGGTGATTGATTGGCTGATTATCATGGTAACTGACCAAATAACAAATTCTCAAACAAGAAAACTATTTGTTAAGCTTGGAACTCTAGTCTCAAATGTAGTTACCGTGTTACATATCAAATAAGTTTATTTCTTTTCGAAGATTGCTTGAAAAATTACAACGTGCTTCGAAGTTCCTGTATGTTTAAAAGTATTACATAGAATTGTGTGTGTGTGTGTGTGTGTGTCATTTAGATTTAATCAAAGCCTAATTTTGGAAGGTGGATTTAGTTTCGAGTCGAGTGACAAGAACTAGACTTGAATGAATGCCAAAGTGATCAAGAAAGGTCAACTTTACCATAATTTGTATAAGGTATAATTTGTATATCAACCATTCAACCATTTTCAAACTATGTAATCTCAAAAGATCAACTCAGCAGCACCAAAATCCATCCCTTGAAAGTGCCTTGAGCTTCTACTAAATCGTTCAAATATACTCACATGGCCGTTCTTGTCCATCTCGTTGTTGGTGAGTTTGACCTTCTCGAAGGACACGACCTGCTTCCTCAGCTGTTCCCCGGTGAAGGGAGAGTCAGGATGCATGTAGAGGCGGCAAGGCGCCGGAGGATCAGCTTTGCCTGCTACCAACCACGAGGACCGATGGTAGGTGTACCTGTACCTCTTGTTGTCCACGGGGACTACGTCCATCAGAACGGCGTACCTCTGGTCCGGCCTCAGGCCTGTGAAGGATACTCTCAGCGTCGGGAACATCCGTCTGCAACAAGGAGAAAGGATAAGCACGAGGTTTTGCTGAAGTGGAGTTTGTGATTACCAACAAGTTTCACCTGATCTTCCGTCTGGAAGATAGGATTTTCCTGCAAGGGATCTTATAGTGTTGAAAATGTCACACTGTTCACAAAGAAGGTATTTGCAGAACTCATCAATCATATTTGGTGAAAACCTGTTCTCAAAGAAACTCTGATCCCAGATGTGACCTACTGGATAACTTGTTCCGAAATAACCTTGAACAAATCTCCCTGGGGAATGAGTTGGTTGTTTTTAAATTACAAAAGACTGTAGCTCAAATTCGTCTAAAATGGTTGTAGCGTATACAGTACATAAATAATATGCCTTTTTAGTTTAATCGAGTTTGAGTATCATTCCTAATTAAGTGGATACGATTTGCATGAGTTATTGCGCTACAGGCTTTCCGTATATATCGTGTCACAATCTCCAAAAGGATTTTTGCCTCACTCTCTTATTTAAAAGTGCTATTGGATCTGCAAACTTGAACTTCAATCAGGAACCTTCTGTTGCATCAGGAGCACTACACAAAGCCAAGATCACCTAGACGCCAATAACTCCTTAATCCTCATCAATCTGAACATCAGATTCAAGTCCAGACCCATCGACTCATCAATACCCCATAACTCAGAGGCGGCGTGGCGGTGGACTTTGACAAATCGTCACCGCGTCGGGACGCCTGCCTCTCTTGGCACAACGACGCTTCTCTCTAATTGAGACGCTATTAGTACTGCCTCCTCTATTACACTCATCTAATTACCTTTGTCCAACCGGCTGTTTGACACTTTGTGAAAGCCTCATTTAACCGGAAGAACCAACGACCCGGCTACCGCAACGAGTTGCCGCCTTCTTCCCACTGAGTTATATCGCACTCTCCCGGCGTTTCTAGCTTGTGGTAGAGATTAGTTTATGGAGGAATCAACCGAGGTTGATGTGGTGGCGTGGAGTTAGCTGTATTTATAGATAAGGGGAAATGTATGGAGTATTGTAGATTCCATATGCTCTTTTTAGTTATTTTTTTCAACTTTCTTGTGTTAAATATACTGTACACAACGTTTCTGGAGGTGGATCAACTCCTCCCTTTTTTAAGGGAAATTGCTAGTCTACATAATCCTAAGTCCTCAAAAGGTTGCAAGTCAAAAGCTGCTTATTGAAAAACTATTTTTTAATTCTAGTGTTCGGATTTAAGTTATTTTCATGACTTTTAAGGGAGCATCCTCAAGTTGACATTCACAAACCCGTTTTAAAGGAGTTTTTTTTTCGAACAAAAGTAAAAAAGTAAAGTAAAAAAATTACTACTCATGTGATTATGGTATTATCGAAACAATCTGTAACCGAATGAGTAGAACCTTTACGTAAATAACATCAAAACCTACAAAAAAGTGTTTACCAAACGCAATCCTATGTTTTATTTTCAAAGGAAAGTACACCATCAAACAATTGCTAGTTTCACCCATTCTCAGCTGGATTTTTCCCCTCGAGCTCGAGTTCGATTCCACCTTTCACACGGTCGTGGCATAACAAAAACAGTAAACGACACGAGGATGATTATCGTTTGTGTTTATGGCTCCGTTTTAATCGGCGTTCGCGTGACGATTCCCGCTAAAATTCAATTCCGGCGGGAATATCGCGTGTTCGGGCGGCTTCTGTACAACCTCTGTCTGAATGAGAGACTATTGATGAGTCCTCAGTCGACCTTTGAGTCTTTTAATCAATCTATGGCACTTTGGAAATTGGATAGTCAAAGAACACAGATAGTAAATATTGTTTTTCTTAAAAATGTGTTTTTAATGCGGTTGTAGCTGTAGTCAAATTGGGGGTTTGCTTGCGTTATAGTATAATTAAAAGATAAACCTTACAAGTACTTTGATTACAGTCGCTTCTGGAAAGCTACCTTATACTATTTTGGACTAACTAAAGAATCAATAAATTGGTGACGAAGTAACCTTGTGCATATCGAACAACCCTCATCGTCGATTCACGCGTCCGTCGTTCCCGTGTCAACCAACAGTTCAGGATCCGTCGTTCCTTATCCAGCAAGTTGGAACATCCTAATAAATTATGAATGACACGGGTCTCTCTAAAGTGTTTAATTCCCCGCAATAAAATATTAGGGGATTTTAATTTTAATCGTGTACAAAGAAAAATTTCATAATAGCAGCAAGAATTACCCTTTAGCTTATGTGTATGGACGTTTAAAGGCAATAATTCCTGAGGATGAGGCGAAGAATTCTTAGGTAGTAAACTAAAGAGTAGATTTAGATGAATGCGTAAGCTGTTACATATTTAACGTGTGTTTGCAAAAGTTCACCAAGGCATAAAACATAACCTGTCACAAAATAGCAAAAGCTGGAAACGCCGTAAAAGGCAGTAGTGTTCGGAGCGGCAAGCTGCATATCGAACAACCCTCATCGTCGATTCACGCGTCCGTCGTTCCCGTGTCAACCAACAGTTCAGGATCCGTCGTTCCTTATCCAGCAAGTTGGAAACTTTTTGAATAACTGACGAACCGCACTTCCTGCTCTTGCTGATTTATTTAATACGCCCCGAGAGCTGAGTTGAAAGTTCTGCAAGTCGACAATTTTTCCTTCGTCTGTCGCTTGTCTGACGTCTCAACTCTTTAAATAACAGATGTTCTTGTGAATTGGAAAGTTCTTGTAACGTCAGTCCTTCAGTTCTCGAGTTTTCTAAGTGATATTTGTCCTATTTCATATTATGCTGTAACAGTTACGTGGTAACTAAACCGCATCGTTTGGAGATTCCTCAAGTCAAAGTGTGAAATTGTGAAGATCTTTACCAGCGTGTAGGTTTGTTAGTTGAGTGTTATTAGTAATAGGCGACTCAGAGAAATAAAATTTAACAAAAAATAAGTTGCGCAGTTACTGCAAAAAATGTTGTATTATAAATAGGTGGTCTATTATCTTTGAGCTGATTCAGTAACTGTTTCGTTGGAGTTCAAGTTTTTACTAGTTGAGTGTGTTCAAAGAACGGGATCCTAGAGCTGGGACCTTTTCATCTAACCAATGTATTTATAGATGTCTGATATTAATTAGGGTAATTATTTTACCTTGCCAAGTACAGGATTCTCTCTACATCCATAAGCTGAATGTAAAGTTTAAATTAATTTATATACAACATGATAAATATGAACGGAAATTATAAAATGGTGAACTATACCATTGCTGATTTAAATGCACAACCACTATGTGAGCTAGAAAAATTATTCATCATCGTCCAAATAACTCCATAAAGATTTAATCATCACCAAGTTATCACCACGCATATTGTAAATCAAATTACACTCATAATTACAAATTAAAAATTAAAATACAAGGAATTTGACATCCCAAACACCTACAACCTCGGTATGACGGAAGCTTTGTTAACTTCCTCCATGATAGCATCATTAAGATTTCATTTAGGCCCAAAACACATTATGTCCGCATCACTCGGAACGTTTCGAATTACAAGGAACGCCGGCCATCATCAGGTCAGTCGGCGAGTGCACATTAATTACGAGGCGAGCCCGAGGCCACGTCGTCACCCTGACAGCAAGATTACGATGTAAGCACCGACTGACGTTTTATTTGACACGAAAACATTGTTCAAAACAAATAGTAGGCTTCGTACACGAAATAATCTCCAGTCGAAATAGTCCTGAGTGAAGATACGATGGGATTCACGATGTAGAAGTTTTACAGCTAACACTTAATTGAGGAGTTTTTAAAGATTTTAAACATTTAGATGGCGATGCAACAATTCAATTGGACGAACCACTTTGGTATCGTCTTAAGCGTCTGTAAGGTAATAAAAAGATTAGAGCCTACTATTTTTCATTTACAAATAAAAGAGTTACCCCATACAAATTAACACTAGAATACCCAAGGTATTAAAATCTGCAAGTCTCAACTTCATTCAAGAACCATCGACCTATCGGCTATCCTTTGAGTCTTAAGTTTTTATTACACCAGTAAAGGAACTCAAAGGTTTCGCCGTGAAGAAAATGTGGTGTTATTGTTTATTTCCTTCTGGAAAACTCACTTAGCCACGATGCACTTACAGTTCATCAACGATATAATTACTCCTCAAACTCCAAGAAAGTTACGAGTAACACAAAAATCAAGACCCAAATCACAGCTTCATCCTGGCGCACACCCATATCACCCGTACCCACGACCCAAGGGCAATAATTGATTATAAAATCCCACCCATTATCTGGCACTCTCCATTCCCAAAAGCCTCAAAACCTTTTAAATGTGACCAATCGTGAATCAAACACGCCCAGTGTGGACTTATGAAAATGAAGCGTCATTCAAATCGGCCGGATTAAGCTGAACACAAAAAACATGACTAATTGTGATGAATGCGGATAACCCGTGGACTAACCGACCCCCTGCGGATCCTCGGCTGCGGACACCCTGGGGTGGCTTCCACACGCGCACACACACTCACGGGCGCGGGCTTCCGGGCACCGCTGGTCACTGAGTAATGTGCTGGGTAGGAGGTTCATTCATTGTAGCAGAAGTACACTGTAGGGATACGTCTACCGCATTGTCATGTAGTTTATGGAGTTTCTGGTGTGTAGGATCGTCTTCAGGACAGAACACCCAAAGGTGTGCACGAAACAACTGTGAAATTTAAATCACTTGACTGGCCACGAAGGAGTAATGTGCAAGAGTTCATTCATAGTTTCAGAAGCAGTAATAAGTAAAACACCAACAAACTAGAGGTCTTAAACATGTCTGGAAATTATGGAATTTCAGAGTGTGTAGATCTTCTTTGAACAGAACCTCAGGAATAAAAAACGTTGAAATAAATGTCACATGAATAAATCAGTTTAATATTTGTGAATCAGCAAATTTGAGGACTCGAGGGGTAGTACAATAAACCAGAATCTTGATTAAGAATGACTAAATAGTTTACTGAGAGAGAACTAATCATGAATAAAACCTGTGGACCGGAACAAACCAG